GTAGAGGAGGGAAAAACAATAACAAACTGATCTTAATCCCATCTGCAATGTCTTTCTTTTTTTTTTTTTTTTCCTTTTTCTTTTTTTTGGTGGAACTGGGGATTAAATTCAGGCCCTTGCACTTGCCAGGCAAGCGCTTATTCTACTGAGCTATTTCCCTGGCCCCTTTTCTTTTTCCTTTCTTTTTTTTTTTTTTTTTTTTTTTCTTTTCTGTAGTACTTAGAACCTTGCACTTGCCAGGCAAGCACTTATTAATAACACTGAGCTGTCTCCCCAGCCCCGCCAGCTGCAATTTCTTTCCCCGCAGGTAACACAGTCACAACATCTGGGATTAGGATGCTGATGTTGTGCTCAGTATCTGGCTGTTCTACACTTTACTGTAAACAGAAGCCTGCCGCCCTCCTCACACATGTCAGGTTTATTTCCCTGAGCATGAAATTTCTGTGACTGTCCATATTACTAAACTCAACAGTAGCCTGATCTTTATATTTTTCTTGCAGTACTGGAGACTGAACCCAGGCTTTTGTACTGAGCTATGTCCCAAGCCCTTTAATTTTTTTATTTTTATTTTTATTTTTTTAATTTTAAACCAGGATCTCATGTTGGGTAAGGTAGCACATACTTGTAATCCCAGCACTTGGGAGGCTGAGGCAGGAGAATTGCTGTGAGTTTGAGCCCAGCCTGGGCTATGTGGTAAAATCAAATCCAGCCTGAACTACATAGTGAGACTGTCTCAAAAAAACAAAAAACAAAACAGAAGAGAGGGTCTCACTAAGTGGCTAAATTGTTCAGCCTTGGGTTGAATTTGCAATTTTCCTGCTTCAGCCTCCCAGACTGCTGGAATGACAGGGAAGGACCACTGTACTGGGCAGATCACAGTTTCTCTACCTGTTGCCGAATATCTGAGATGTTTCCAGAACATTCCTTCTAAAATGTTTTATGGTATGTTTTTATTTTCCTTGGGTAAACACCTAGGTGGCAATGCTGGGTCATGGCCTGGGTGCACTCTGAGTCACAGGAACATGCCAGACCGTTGGCCGAGGTGGCTAGTAGGGACACACTCTCGGAGAATTTTAGCTCTCTATCTCTAGCTGAAAACCAGTTTTTTAGTTCTGGTCATTTAGGTGGATGTCAGGTTGATTTAGTTGATTTGTTTCATGGTAAAATAAACACAATATAAAACTAACCATTTTCTCCATCTAAGCACCCCCGCTGCAAGTGGTCGCTGCCGCCTCCCACCTCCCTCTAGGACTTCCCACCTTCCCACCCTGAGCTTCTGTCCTCAGGAAATGCTGACCCCTGTCCTCGCCCCAGCTGGGCACCACTGCTGTGCTCCTTCCTTCCTGTCTATGGATCTGACCCTGGAGCTAGCCTCTCTCTGTCTCTCTCTGTCTCTCTCTGTCTCTCTCTCTGTCTCTCTCTCTGTCTCTCTCTCTGTCTCTCTCTCTCTCTCTC